ACCCCAGATCCCCAAAGTAGATGGATGGACCAAGAAAATGTGGTGTATATATATATACACAATGGAATTCTATGCCTCAATCAGAAAGAATTACATTGTACCATTTGTTAGGAAATGGAAAAATTTGGACAAAATTTATGTTGTGAAGTAAGCCAGACCCAAAGAAACATACGTCCTATGGTTTCCCCTGTTTGCAATGACTAGTACGTGTCTTGGACAAATAGAGAAGTTCAAAGGCTATGTACATATGATCATATGAGATGATGTGAAGTGAAATGTACCCCAAGACAGGGACACAAATGTTTTTTTTTCTTTCTTGCTATTGTTTTTAATGTACTTATGATGCACTATGTGATTCCTTTGTTTCTTTTGTATGTTTTTCCCCCACGGCATAACCTGTTTTCACTGTATTTGATTGTAGTGTTCAGCATCTTGTGTACACATTTTTGTAATTTGGGGAGGGGAAGGGATATAGCAGAATACTTAAATGGGGATGTAGAAGAATGCTTAAATGGGGATGCAGGTTGATCCATTGTGACGATGATATCTACAGGACACTATGTTGAAAATGAACTTTACAATGTTGGGGGCAAGTGGGGGGGAAGTTTGCAGGTGGTGAGGGAAGGGATGGTAGGTGAAAAACAAAGGAGGAAGTAACAATGATTGATAGGTATTGTACTCATTACCTTACTCATGCAAATCTAAACCCTCTGTACAGGATTTTACAATAAAATATACATAATTTTTTCCTGGCTTTGATTAGATATTTACTTCAATGTAAAACCTAAATTATATTGCTCAATTGCTTTTTTTTTGGTCAGTCAGAGGACTTGAACTCTGGGCCTAGGTGCTTTCCCTAAGCTCAAGGAAAGCACTCCACCAGTTGAACCACACCACCACTTCAGGTTTTCTGAGTGGTTTATTGGAGATTAGAGTCTCAGGATGTTTCTTACCCAAGCCAGCTTTGAACCTCAATCCTCAGATCTCAGCCTCCTGAGTAGGTAGGATTATAAGCATGAGCCACAGGTGCCTGGCTATTGCTCAATTCTTTACTTGCTAAAAGGCCATTGTATGATTCTTTTTACTAAAACTTGTTTTCCTTCAAATACTATCTGATGAAAGTTAGAAGAGTGATGTGTAAAGTGATGCAATTAGATGCATTTTGAAAACAAAAAAAGAAATGGTCTGAGATCCCTCAAGTTTGTGAAGTTTGGACACAGTGCAATGTCAGTCTACATGTGATTCTCCTGTTCTCCCTACTTTAAAACCAAATTGCAAATATTAATTTACAGCCAGTTAGTCTAAGTTTAATTACTTTACATTTTTTATTGTGAAAATACCGTACAGAGGGGTTACAATTACATGGGCAAGGTAATGAGTACATTTCTTATCAATCATTGTTTCCTCCTCCTTTGTTTCCCATTTTAAAAAATGTCATTTTGAGATCAAATGTTTCAAACAGTTAACTGAAAATTCAATTTTTAAAACTCAGTAAGTAAGCCAGGATCCATTGACTCACGCTTGTAATTTTAGCTACTCAGGATGCTGAGACCTGAGAATCGGGGTTCAAAGCCAGCCCAGGCAGGAAAGTCCATGAGACTATTCTTTCTAATAAACCACCAGAAAAGGGAAGGTGGCACTGTGGCTCAAGTGGGAGAGCACGTTCATTGAGCTGAAGAGCTGAGGAACAGCCCCCAAGCTTAGAGTTCAAGCCTTGTTACGGGGTCTGGGGGAGGGGATTCCACATTCCTCTTGGTGAGGATTTTATATTCCACTAGAGTCCACCACACAGAGACAGCCTCATGTAAAAAGATGAATTTATTGGGGAAGTGGCTAGATGACTGGACAGGGACTCAACATAGACTTGGGAACTGTGACTGGCCCTGAGCAGTTCTCAAGCTAGGATTTTTAAGGGGTAGGTTACCTAGAGTTACATAGACTAGCCATGAAATGCAGGTTTGGCACATTTTCACTGGTTATAGTTAAATGACCTTTAAATTCATTTGTTCTTTATGGTAAATATCATATGTAATAACTTGCAATAGGCTGCCTATAGTGGGGTCACTGGGTGGTGGTCTTTAATTGCTGGTCTTAAGACCACTTACTGAGGCAAGTAAGCAAGGTTACAGAAGCAAAACATAGCAAAATATATCCTTGAGTCACAGGAGCATAGGCAAAACATAATGTTGACTTGGCCACCATGACTAATACTATTAATGCTATTGATACTATTAAACATTATTTTTATTATGAACTCCTAGCTAATACAGCAAACAAATGTAGCTGGTGATAAGCCTCATGGTTCTAGACAGACTTCTGCAAAGCTGCCAGCTTGGTAAACTTCAATGTTTGGTTATTTGGTTTTTACAAAGGATGGAGAAGCAAAGGCTGACCAGTAGTCAGCCTATATCTGAGGTTTTTCTTTACCAACAGGTTTTTGTTATTTATTAATAGCAACTGAGATATTACAGCTCCATGGCTGACCAAAAAAAAAACTCTGTGAGGAAATAACAAATGTAAAGGAAGAGGGAAGTTAGTAAATAAATCCATGAGAAAGAGAATTGAGGAAACAAATTGTTTTCATTTGGATAAAAAATGATTTGAGGAACAAAAATTATCTGCACTGTTTTTAACCACAAAATGTTCAACTAGCACGTGGTCTGAGTAGGTCTTGAGTTTCATAAAATAGAGCTTATTATAAAATAATTGGTATTAAATAATTTGATTGATGATCAAGAAAATTAATAATTACAGATGCTGTGGGGATGTGGCCAAAAGGAATGTAATAACACTGTTGGTAAAATAATATGACAAAAGACATAATAATACATGAACATTACACATACATGCTAGTATGGGTATTTATTATGTCTATGTTTACATATGGTGAGTGTTTCTTATGTCACTACTTAGAAGCTGAGATGCAGAACCAGGATCAGTTCCAATCAATACATGAATGGAAAAAGTAAATTGAGTCACACAGACACAATAGTGTCTTGAGAATGCAATTATATATTTGAGTCAGGAATAGAGGAGGAAATGGAGATCATCATATTCAGGAAATCACCCTGACAAATGCAGCAGTGGTATATACTGGACACCATGTGAAAAATGAAGTATACAAATGGTGGATGGGGAAGGGAAGGAAAAATTGGGTAACATTGTAAAAACAGAAATATACTCATTGCTGATTTACATAATGGTAATTTCTGTGTACATCACCTTTACAATAGGGACAGACAGATAGATGTATTATCACCCAACACAGACCCCCAGGATTTCTCTCATTTTTGAAATGTAGGGAGTAGAAGGCTCAACGTATTAGAGTAGATATCCATGTCAATGAAGTAGAAATTGTAAGGTTCTCCAGAAAGGAAAACTGACCCATGGTCCATGCAGAAAAAGTACACTGCCCATCCACAGGAGATGAAGGCACATGAAGAAGGAAAAGGAAAAAGAGAGGGAAGGGAACTTTGACTGACCAGGACCAGAGTGGATGCAGCAGTGACCTCAGAGTCTGGGGAACCTCTCACTGTCAGAGGGAGCTGTGACCAGGACAGTTCAGGAAGTGACCTCAGAGGATTAGGAAGTGACTTGAGTGTGTTGGGTCCTTTGCTGACTCACAGTCAGGTGATTGACAGGTGACTATTGGTTTCAGGAAGGTGAAGAGGAAGTGGGGAGGAGCTGTTCTCCTGGGCAGACTTAACAGAAATAGAGTAATCGAGGAGGGGAACAGGATAAATGGGTGTCCTTTGAGCCAGGTGCGGATGGCTCCTACCTGTAATCCTGGCCATAGGAAGAAATAGAGATTTCTACTCAGAACCCAAGTCAAGGTTGGCCCCAGCACTGACCCTCTTGCAAGGTCTTGCTGGCTACCAACACCAAGTAGCATTTGCATCCTTACTTTTTCAACTTACGTTTGCCAAGCCCTTCCTAATAAATATAGGGAGACAAATCACAGAACCAGCTACCATGGTGAACTCTGGGGGAAGCAGGAACCTGTGCTTTTACCTTGGTTCCACGTCTATCATGAGCAAATAATAGAGGAGACAGGTAGGGAGACATGGACAGAGCAGGGACCACATGCCTGTCTAAGTGAGAACAGGAGTTTCCCCAGCACCCAGGACATGACCAAGACAGAGAGCAGAACAAAACCCATCCATAGACACACAACTTCCAGGATAATCAATGGGCAGGCCTGCTATTTTCTCAGAAAGTCATAGATCATAGAACATCTCTATCTAACAGTGAATCACCACAATGCATTCATAGACACATTTTAAATGTCCAATTGGTTGTGCACCTTGACCTTCAAGTGTTGATCTTTAATGGTTGAATACAGGGAGATTGTTGATACCTCCTGCATCAGGAAATAACTGCATTGACCTCTTCTGGATGTTTCTGCATGTGGAGTTGTTATGGAAACCTGAATGGGTCATTTCACCAAACCTCTGTGGCTCCCTTGGTCCTGGGTTTGTGAGTCTGCCCATCCTCATCTTCGATGGTGCTCCAATAATGCTGGGTCTTTGTTGGCCATGGCCCTCTATTACCTTTTGACTTCACCTGGCATCCTCTGGTGTCATCCATTTCCATCATCCCTAGTGGCTTTCCTATGGTACTTTATGTTGTGGGCTTGTTTTCTTTCAAGTTTTTGCTTTCACACTAGTTTGTGAACAACACAACAAGAAAGGAATCCATCCCTGGAGTTTCATTATCTACAGTCTTGGATGAAATGACAGTCCTGAGGGTGTGGAGAAGAAGATGGTACACATGTTTTCCAACTTGTGTTTTGACCTTGAAGCCGGACCTCAGATGTATACCTGGAGGGCAGAAAGGGCTCTGTATTCCTCTTGGACAGTGGAGGAGGCCCGTGGTGTGGTGTCCCAGTGGCCGTCCAGATAACAATAAGCCACAGAAACTGAAGATCCATTTAGACACCCATCTGATGCTGCTGGCTCAGTCTGCATCCAGAATCACAGCTCCAGGCCAAAGCAGCAGCAATGTTCCCTGTGACTCTGACACTGCTTCTCCTCCAAAAACCGCTCGTGGTCAGTTCCTCGAAAGATGACCGACACATTTGCACAGAGAAATCTGTGGCACGCTGCAAGGGAGATGTGGTCATTGCTGGGATTTTCCCCTTTTATTCTTGGGAATTTGTTCACAACATGAATGATCCTGCTGCACAACAACAGAGCAATCAGTAAGTGATGTCTTGGGTTTTCTTAAAATTTGCATTTTCTGTTTGGCTATCAGACCGTTTGGGGGAAATTTGGACGCAACCACTAATGTTCTCTGGATCTTCTACATTGTCCTCACCATAACAGTTCTACTTTATTTCCAGTTTTCCTGATGAATATTTTTCTTCTTTCCAATGGGTAGAGAGGTCTCTGTCTGTCTTCATTCCACTCCCATTTCCCAGCACTGTCCAGACCACCTCACCATCATTGTGATTCCTCCAGCCTGAACTGTCCTGGTTCAGTGTCATTTGGGTGACCAAGAGTACATACTAGCCACTAAAGCACAATGTCCCCATCCATACATCAAAGGTTAGGGAACCTTTAGTCAAATCTGTCCTTATACTTTTAAAAATAGGACCAATGTTTGGACCTCCTTCAGGACAACATTTCTTAGGACAGACATGCAGTTTCTGCTTCTGGGGTTATTTCATGTCAGCAAAGCACTGGGAAAGGGGAGCTGCTGGTCAGTTCAGGAATAAGAGATCCATGATCCGTTTTATTTTTCCCCTTAACTAATGTAAGTGAACTTCTGTCTTACTGTCCATGTCTGAGCCTATCTCCTATGTCATTCCCAGAAGCTCTGCTTCTATTCCATGTTCTCTGACATCTAGCCAGGCTTATCTATTTTCCCCTGCTCATGAATTCTTAAAATATATTTGAATGTTTTTCCATATTGTTATTGGTTGTTTGTGGGGCTTGAACTGTAGGTCTAGGTGCTGTCCATGACCTCTTCAGCTCAAGGCTAGGGCTCTACCACTTCAGTCACAGCACCACTTCCTGTTTTCTTGTGGTTTATTGGAGTTAAGCATCTCACCCACCTGTCTGCCCTGGCTGCCTTTGAACTTGCATCCTCAGATCACAGCCTCCTTAGTAATTAGGATTACAAGCATGACCCACCTGCACCTGGCTTTTTCATGTGTTTTATGCACACTTTGATTCATGCATTTGACCCAGGTAAGCTCATTTCTTTCAGATATACAGAATTCTCTGTAAACTGGGAAGTCACAGATGAATCTTCTCAGACAACTTGTGTGGAAACACCCTGTATGGGCTTTATTCAGGAGAGGAATACTTTATTCCATGAGAGATTTGTGAAGGATATTGAAGCCAACTGAATGTGGTGTGGAAGTGAGTGAGACAGATGGGACTCATGTGTAAACCCAGCATTAGAAATGCACCTCCATGGGAGATAGGAGATGTCAGAGTTGTCTTCTGCTCTGTCCATTCTCTAATTGAGCTCTGTGTGTGTGTGTGTGTGTGTGTGCATGTTCACACAAACTCTTGTACACAGGCGTGAACTCAAGTCCTGATGGCTGTCCCTTAGCATTTTTCTCTCATGGCTGGCAGTCTACTACTTGACCAACATCTCTGTTACTGGTTTCTGTGTGTTTAATTGTACATAAGAGTCTCACAGACATTCCTGCCCAATGTGACTACAAAACATAATTCTCTGATCTCAGCCTCCTCAGAAGCCATAATTAAAGGCCTGAACCACCAGTTCCCAATTAATATTTAGTATTACTAACATTCTAGCTGTCAAGCTTCACAGTTATGTTGTAAAATAGCATATCAAAAATAAACATGAGAATTGAGCTTGTCTCTATGAGAATTTCCCCATACTGATTATATTGAATGCTAGGAGAACTCATTGTTCTGGAACATTCTTGATTCATACTAGAACCGTGATACCATCTGTCCTTTGAAATGTCTCAGAATTAGACCAGTCTGCCTGGTCTGGCTTTGTGCCTTTCAAGAAATTCCAGGCGATTTCCACAATGTCACCACTAGAGGGAGCAAAGGACTTGAAGGAAGTGAGCTAGGAGGTGATAAACCTCTTCAGTAGTGGAGAAAACCAAAGGCAAGTTGGGTGACAAATACTCTGTGTTTCTAAAAACCTCAAGGAGAAACCCACTGAGTCGAGGGTCCCAGCATGCCTCCTCTTGGGTCATGCGGGGGCCCATAATGCTCATGCACAGGAAATGGCCTTGTGAGATGTTTCTGTGTAGCAGTGGCAAGATCTTTGTTCTGGAACAGGCCTTAGTCACAACTGTGGCCACCAGAACTCTATTACACCTGGAATACCAATCAGCAGTGTCACAAAAACAGGTGAAGGTTAATGAAGTTTCCCTCTAAAAGTAGGCACTCTTCACTTAGGCTTCTTGACTTGGATCTCAGAATAAGAAATTCTATGCAAGTCACAACGGTAAGAAACTATGGCAGAGTTTTACTAAGTAATGAAGCAAAAAAGCAAGCAAATAAACAAACAGGAAACAGAAATTCAAAGACACACTCTAACAGAGGAGAGATACACAGCTCTTGGGCTGCCAGGGGTATTCATGCAGTAAAGGTGGGAGGACTAACTTCAAAGTTATTCAAACATATGTGTCTCATCTTTGCTCTAATCACTTCTGGTGTTACACTTTCTGAATTTCTATATGTTTTGGACATTCTTTTCAGATAAGAAGGCATCCTTCCATAAAACAAATGATTACCCTTGCAGTGAGGAAGGCGTGCTGTTGTCTATATTTTGTGTAGGATGTTGCTTATGATTTGGGGGAGCATTTTTTGGGAAGGCATACATGCTGCCAGACAACTGTTAATTCATATGATGAGAAATGCATTCTCAGGAAAGAAATACATCCCGTTATGTCTCTTTGAAGCAAAGATAGTGTCTCTGTTTTTCTAAATCATGTTTCTGAGTTGCCTTCACCAAGACTCATTTTCTTCAATTTATCTGGCTTCATTTTCTGCTCAATGATTTTAGTCACTTGATCTTAAGGGATGTAGATGAATGAATAGCTCTCTATTTGCTGTGAGCTTACCACACCCCATTTTCTCCTAATCTATGCTACTACATTTTCCACTAAATTACTTTGTTCCCTTAATATTAAGAGAAGTAGATGGACAAGTATTAAGTTTGAGTTTTTGAATTCCTGGCATGCTTTAACCAGGCCTCATTTTCTCTAGTCTACCCTGACTCAGTACTACATCCTCAGTCCATTGCAATGAAGACCAGAGCGCTGGGTGAGCACTAAGAAGCACACAATTTGTACGTAGTGGCAGTGTTCTCATGGGCCAAGATGGCCACAACCATACCCAATTAGTGATAGCTAGAATAAAACTCAGACTGTCTGGTGGTAGATGACTTTCCCAGGTACTGAGGTGATTACAGAGCTCTGCCAGAGGTTGGCCTGGCTGTGGGGTCATGGCACAGTTCTAGTGCTATCACTTGGGCCACACTAAGCTCTAGGACAATGTCACCATCTTACTTCCCTGTCCTACCCATAAGTGGGATGGAGAATTGTGCTGTGCCAGAGAAGCATTGAATGCTTTGTAATGGGGACCACAAGCTGGGCACTGGCGGCTAATGCCTGAAATCCTGGCTACTTAAAAGGCTGAGATCTGAGGATCTAAGTTCAAACAGTGCCTCTAGTTTATTCTGGATTATTGGTCCACACATGACATGCCTGACACAGGGTTCTAAGAAAAAACCTTGACCCACTCATGCCCTGCTCAATAGGAGGTTGTATCCAGTACCTGCTGTTGTTCACAAAATTAGAGGAGGGAGGTTGTGGAAATGTCTTTCTTCTCTGTCCTAAACCAGTTCCAGAGACACAATCTAAAGGTCTGGACCCAAGAGTAGAGACTATAACCACTTCCCTAGCACTGGTCTCAGTGTATGGGGATGATCCTGAGATTTAACTTGAACTCTCTCCTTCCCTTCAGTGTCAGAGGGTTTCTGAGTTATTAACGTTGATGATGGGGAGGAATATGGAGTCAGATTCTTCCACCATTTCTCACACTTTCTTTTCTGTTGTTTTATTCTACTAGAGAAGTGTCTTCTGGTCCAAACTCGTGACTCTCATCTGTTCTTTTGTTGGGTGAAGCAATCTTCATGTTCTAGCTTTCTTGCCATCTTGAATAATGACATTCTCTGCGTCAGCTTAGTGTTCCTCCACCACATAACATGAATTTAATTTCTTTGTCTTCTTTAATTTCCTCACAAGGCAAGATGTACTTCTTTGCAGAAATGTGCACCATTAGCAAAAGTTTAGCAAGTGAGCATAGACACAAGGCAGCCTGCTTTTGTATTTGTTCCTAACACAGTAGGCCCTGTCTCTCTGCTTGTATTGGCTAAACTCAGGTGGACAATATACTCTCAATTTGAATTCTATTTCTTAAGTGTTCTTCATATGCACAGGTAATTCTAGGTACTCAATGATTTGGGATGTGACTGGGCATGTTCCTGTGTCCCAGCAGACAACAGTGTTTTTCACATATCCATATGTGGTAGAATAGAAAAGCCAACTTGCTCATCCCTCCCCACCCTTTGTAATCTCAAAAGAATAGTAATCTCATATATGCTGATCAAGTCCTGTTCAGGAGCTCTCCCAATACTGAAAACTTTTCTAAGACTCCAAATTCTAATGTCATCCTGTTGGAAGATAGGATCTACACATACTACTGTGTGTAGAGATAGGCATTTGATTCAAAAAAGTCAGAAGGTTTGCAGTTAATCATTTGTAATACAAATATACCTACCCAAATATTTCTGGCCTCTTTTCAGTATCAACTTAAAGAAATACCAATTGCTTCTCACCCTGGTGCTTGCAGTGGAGGAGATCAACAAGAATGCTCATCTGCTACCCAACATGACTATAGGGTTTGAGATCTATAGTGCACATTACAAAGATACTGATTTATTAGAGGATCCACTCATATGGCTGTCTGGGAAGAATAAAAACAGCCCTAATTACACCTGCAGAAGAGACAGCAAAGCTTTAGCAGTACTCACAGGAACCTCAAGCACATCTGTACCAATCTGGACACTGCTGGACCTCTACAAACTTCCACAGGTGAGGCTGGGAGGGGTGTGAAGCCATGTCCACAGTGACTCTTTCCTGGACTGGCTGAAGAAGAGGACTTATCACAATCCCTTCTAAATGCATGATCTCACAGGAAAAAGACTCTGGAAATGGGTGGGACATATACATTTTCTTTCCTGCAAAAATAAATAAATAAAAGGAGAGATTGTAAGAGTCCAAAGGATTATCCAAAGCTCTGAGCCTTATCCTTACATGTCTACAATGAGCTTGAAACATAGGACATGACTTTGCAAGTGGAAAATTGACCTTTTTCCCCCACCTCTACCAGTTTTTGCTTAGTTCTCACCAGGACTGATACTTGCCTATGACCATCCTCTTCCTGGTGTTGTGTTCATTGTTTCCCTATAGTTCACCTTTGGGTCATTTGATCCTCTCCTGAGTGACCATAGAAAGTTTGGTACTGTCTATCAGATGGCTGCCAAGGACTCAGCTCTAGCCCTGGCCATAGTCTCCTTGATGCTTCATTTCAGCTGGACCTGGGTGGGACTATTCATCACCGAAGATGACTATGGTGTGTGGTTCCTCTCAGAATTGAGAGAAGAGATGGACAAGAATGGAGTTTGTTTGGCCTTTGAGAACATGATCACTTACAGTGCCTTTTTAGATTTCACAAATGATCTATGGATGCATCGCCAGCTAATGGAATCATCAACCAATGTGATTATCATTTATGGGGACAGTAAATTTCTACTAAGCTTTATTCTTAAATTTGGGTACTTTTTAATTACAGAGAAAGTCTGGGTCATGAACTCACCCTATGATGATGTGACTATTGCTAAAAGACATTTTCTCATTGACCCTTTCCATGCACCTCTCATCTTCTCTCACCACCATAGAAACACTTCTGGGTTCACCAATTTTATTCTGACAGAGATCTTCTCCAAGAACTCAAGAGATAATTCCCTTCCCATGTCATGGATTCAGTCTGTTTATTGCTTACTGGTTAAGTCTGACTGTAGAGACTTGGGGCACTGTTCATACATTGCCACACTGGATTGGATGCTGAGGCACATTTTTGACATGACCATGTCAGACGAGAGTTACAACATCTACAACGCTGTGTATGCTGTGTCCTATGCCCTTCACCAGATGATTTTCCATCTCA